TGTCGTGCGAAAGTACATACATACATACATACACTCTGATATTGGCAGAGACTAGGAATAGAATTTTACCTTCGTGAATATGGGGATCCCATGACTATCACATGCCACGATTGTAAATGAAAATTGAAAACATCTACAGATATCACAGGGAAATACGGTCATTTAAGATCACAAATAGTCAAGGATCACGGTTTGCAATCCTCACAAGGCTTTGGATAAAATATGATACAGGGGAAAAAATTAACCTTTTTTTTGTTCTTTTTAAAAATGAATTTTTCGTAAGAAATGCAATAAAACTATTTTTGAAACAAAAATAAATAAGTAAAGAAAATTTATAAAAACAAATGAACATTTATGAAAAAAAGGTTACGAGGAAGAAAACAAATAAATCTGAGGTATTTTAAGAGATGTTCCAGAGCAAAGAAAAGTAATCTGAGTGCAGTAGCTCTAGCTTCGCCGCTAAAATACGCGACAGAAATGAGCGACAGGATCATGTTCACTACGCCGTAAACGTATTTTGGAAAACAAATGCGCTGAATATTGCTGTTTCCAGGATTGGGGTAGTGTTACGTTTCCTTTACTTACTCTTATGTCAAAACAATTGACGTATAAAACTAGTAAGGCTACAACAGCACATACTTTCGAACAATATTGTATATGGTTGTGCAATATTACAATGTGATAATTTCTTTCATACACTTCAGTTGAAATTTGAAATATTCTTAAACAAACGAGGCCTGAAAAGTACATTAATTTTTTTAATTTAAACGTTTAAACTAAAATAGCCTCCTGCCAGTGAATTCAGAGTACTCACGATCTACAAATATGTACAAACGATGAACAATGTACATTTTAGCCGAAATAAATTTATTAGTTTATAACAACGCGACCCTCTGCGGCCGTCTTCTGTTGCCAGTGTGGCGTTGTCAAAGCAACAATAGCCACTGGATTCGTATGGCATACACGCAAACAGAGAGTGCGCCGAAAATGGCACTAGCACAACTTTCTTTACAGTTCGTTACTACATACGTGAAAATACTTAAAGAAAAACTATGGAGTCTTTTCTCCAAATTCTCCAATAATTGCTTAAATTTTAAAAATATCTTATATTTCATTATTATAATATTATAGTTGTTGGAAGACGCCGAAAAAAAAATTGAAATTTTGCAATTTTGAGAAATCAGTGATTTTAATGAAAATAAGGCCTGCATCATTCTCTTAAGCGTCCTTCACATCATCCAACAACAAAATTTAATCACGGGTTTCACGAACCCCCCAAAATTAAAAATATCGGTTTCTAATTCAAGAGACCGTGACTTCAGCCAGATCGATTAGGGGAATATCAATTTTGGTGAAAATGTTGCATAAGGTTTAACTGCTAGCCATGTTCACAAACAGACGGATGGACGGACGGACATTTTGCTGACAATCGATGTTTCGGTATGAAGAACCCACAAAACATGGATTCTGACGACACGACGTATTAAAGGAAGTAATTTACTAAATATAGTGACAACGAGTTATCCACTTTTCCGCTACCAGAGCCCGGCAATAAGAGTTTTGGGTCAAAATTCGATGTGTTTTTTTCCCCTCAGCATTACAATGCTTTCTTAGTACTGCGTCAACAGTAGCAACAAATAAAAACTCAATGTGCTGCAGCGCAGCGACAGCTAGCGGAACGTGTTATCTAAATGAGAGACTAAAAAAAATAGTGCAAATTTTCCTGTGCTAGGCAAGCAGGTGCAGTGGGATTCATACGCAGTGATTTTTCTTGCTGACGTCATGGCACACAACCGCTAATGCTGTGCCTGTTCGTGCATGACGCGATTCCTATTTGAAGCGGACGAAACTACAGAGCGTTCGTGTGGTGATGTCCAAATGAATCAGGGGTTGCAGTTTATCCTATCTATTGTGTATTTTTGTTGCAATTAGAATGAGTTATTATCCAGGGAATTGAACGTAATTATATATAGTTACACACATATAATCGAAACCAAACACGAATTTCACTATTTCTTCAAGTTGTTGTAAATCGCCTCCACTGTAATTATGCGGTGCCGTATACCATAGCATTCCAAGAATTCAGATTCTCAGAGACAATGGGATACTTTGGAAGCCAAGAGAAGTTCACTGAATTAGATGGTCTACTTCTAATATACTAATTTTCTCTCAGACTATTCTGCTGCATGTAAGTGGAAGGGTCTACTTCCCAAGTCAGTGAATGTCAAACGACCGTGAACAGTCAGTGGCAATGTCTGAAGACAAAGCCCGTGGTGCGGGTATTTTATGACGAAGGAAATAGATACTCGCATTACTCCATGATCTCCACGATTCATGCGTTTGGAGCAACATCCCAGAATGCGGAGCCAATGGCAGTGCCATTGAGTTCCCCGCAAGGTACGAGTGATTTCACTGTATGATTTTTCGTTATTGGACTTATTACAGCGTACCCAATTGAACCTTCATAATCTCATCAATCTTTCATTATTAAGGTGCGTATATTTGCCTATTTTCCTGTTATTTCCTTCAATGGAAAACGCAATATTTTGGGTTACTTATTCATTTTCAGGCATTAAGAGTATAATATAACAATTTTATAGTTCCTATAAATGCCTATTTTGTGTTTAAATGCATAATGTTGTTAAATCTCGTATTTATTGATCAAAACGCAAGTATACGTAATAGATTTTTATGTACTTTTTTCGTTTTTGTCCGGCGGATTACAGAAAAATCTATCGATAAATCTGTATAAGATATATAAGAACAACTATCGATAAATCTGTTTCGTTGTACTGCCACCACAGTACGAGTTTTGGGGATTATGAAACACAATAAAAATCGCTGGTGGTGGAAAAGTTATTTTTAACTTCGAATTTTTTACTCCCAAAGGTTCCAAACTTTTTCTTATTTTTATTATTTCTAAAATGCAACTTATGAAAAATGTTAGTCGCATGGACATATGTATTGAAAAGCGATATACGGCATTTTCATTTCTTTCTGAATTGGCATTGTTGTAGCCAACACTACTAGAATTAGTGATTTGTTATTGATTTGTTTACAACAAAAAAACAACCTCATAGGGAGAAATCATACCATACTCTTAGACAAACTAGAAAAATATGGAATTAGGGGAATTGCCCATAATCTTCTGAAATCATTTCTCACCGATCACCAACAATGTACAGAAATGATCTACTTAGAAAATAACACCATAAAAAGATGCTGATCAAACACAATTACAATGCATGGCGAAGTTCCACAAGGATCATTGCTAGGCCCATTCTTGTACAAAATGTATGTCAATAATTTTCAACCAACCAATAACACAAAACTTACAATGCATGCAGATGATACGCTTCTATGTTGGCACAAATCACAAGATGAATTGAACAAATTAACTAAAAGCTGCCTATTAGAAACTTCAATCATATGATGAAATTGGTTTAAATGTTAATGTTAACATAACAAATATAGTAATGTTCACAGACATTCCTCGAGACAAAGTATCCATTGCAATAAATATACAAAATGAACCTATACCAAATATACAGATGATCAAATTCCTGGGAGTAGAGATAGACACTACCTTATCCTGGGAGGGTCATATTGACAGTGTGTAATAAACTGAGCTGAGGAATTTTTGTATTACGAAAATTTAGTAAAATACTCGGAGAAAGGGAACTAAAAGCAATTTATTTTGGAATAAAATATCCTCATAGTCTGTATGGAATTAATATGTGGGGTGATACATACAAAACACATATATCTAGAATACTCACTTTGCAGAAACAAGCAATTAGAACAATATATAACATGAAAAGAACCTAAACCTGCAGAGATAAATTCCAAGAAGGGAATTTCTTAACTGTACATGGGCTATACATATACAATACCATACTTATAATGAGGTCAAATGGAAATGTGCTAGAAAATAAAGATATACATAACTATAATATCAGAAATAAGTATAATAAACACATTGTGAGTATAAGACTCAAAAGAGCTGACAAAAATCCTTATCTTTCAGGAGTACAATTTTTCAACAAATTGCCAAATGAATAAAAAATCTAAGCCATTTCAAATTCAAAAAAGAACTAAAGAAATACTTAATAAACAACACGTTATATTCTTTAGACGAGTCATAAAAAAAACATTATCTGACACGTAGAATGTTGTGGATTGCACAGAATTAAAAAAATAATGAACTGTACTATGCTGAATCTATATGTACAAGTGTATGGATCAATATAAATATGAAATTTCGTATTATATATAAAAAATTGTATATTAACTGTATTGGGACTATGTATTTTTTATATTCAATGTAATTATTTGTATACTAATAGTATAGTTTGAAACATTACTTTGTAACATAGTAGTCATCCTATTTTATGAGAAAATGTATTTATGTTAAAATAGTTAAAATTTGTATTAGTCAATAGTTTGTTAAACTCATTCATGACATGGTCTAAAATAGTACTTGTACTACCACAGAACCAAATAATTATTATTATTATTATTATTATTATTATTATTATTATTATTATTATTATGGGCTAGGGGCAAGTGGTGTTCACAGATGGACGGATCTTTTGCCATCAATTGGTTTTTCGGGATCAAGGACCCACAAAAGGATTCTTGCGACATCACATGTTAGTCTATTTTTCTTCTTAATTTAGCAACTTGGTTTATCCGTTTTTTCATTATCAGGGTTCGGCAATTAATTTTTTTCTGCAGAAAATCAGCTCATATCTGTCCTCTTCCTAATGTCAGGAGGAGCAAAAAATACATCTAAGTTATCGGTAAGTTTTTTGAAAGAAATGTTGCTGCAGATTAGTGTCAAATACATCCAGTGTTTCATTTTGCATCATTCATTATCACAATAATTTCTGTATAATTGTAGATGTGAGCAACTATAATATTCTCGTGTTAAAATAGAGAATGATACACATAAATCATTGAGCTAAAAAAACATGTTATTACATTCCGAAAATATTACCTTTCTTCATTTGGATGGTGCCTCTTTCCCTCCATCTTCAAAGCCACGAATAATATATTTAACCGTGAAGCAACAATTACCCAAATATTTTGAAATCAATATTTTGCCAATATTGAATGAAAATTAGTATTTTTGCTTCAACAATGGAAGACACAAATTTCACACATACCGAGTCAAATTTAACTACGAAAAACATGGGCAAGAAAAGAAAACTATTGTATACACAATTTTGAGGAGCAGAAAGAAATACCCTTTTCCACTTCATTTTTATTTTTAGTAAAGAGCTTTTTAATTTGCATGTTTATTTCATAAATTTAAAAACAGCTTATTTTGTTTTTTCATTTTCAGTCATCAGCAGATTTCAATACTGAATTTTTCAAATTTTCAGGCTATTTGTCATCAAACATATAATTTTCAAGTAATTAAATAGTGAATAAAACTTAGAACTTTTGCTATCTAATGAAATATTTGGTGAGAACTAGTTAACTTCATTAGTTTGGGATGATTGTTAGTGATTCCGGGCACATCAACTACCGAGGTCATTAGTCCTGTATGTGCAGTACATGAGCTTTGCTCGGGCGGTGGGGTGGTTTTCCCCCACTGTATTGCGAGATTCGGCAGCGACCTACTGTATTGCGAGATTCGGCTAGCGAGATTTTCCCCAACCAGGTATCTCCCACTAGGGGGGGGGGGGGGCTGCCCCAGCCAAGACAAGTTCAACTAAGCTCCTAATCAGACTTCAGGCATGTTTGGTAATGTAGTTCAAGTAAGTGTATGTAAGGGAGTGAGGATAGGACAATGAAGAGTTAAGAAAGATCAGGTATGGCCCTAGGCCCATTTGTTAGGGTACTGGTCTGGGATTTGCCTGGTATTGATCAGAGAATCCACGCAAAACTACCAATCAGAGTAGCCGGCCACTAGAAGTCTCCTCCAGACAGCAACTGAATTTGACCTAGCTGACAAGCCAGTGTCGAAAATCCTACCACCGTCGGGACTCAAACCTAGAACGTCCCATTCAGAGGGACTGCAGTGACATCAGTTGATGCTCTGAGCCATCTCTCCCAATAATTACTTTGGGTAAATAAAGTTAATTACTGCGGGAATTGATAGATTTAATATTTTTTGCACAAGGGATCTGTAAACAAACATTTAGGAAAATCTGATTTCAAGTTCTATTTTTCAATGTTGACATATTAATAATCATCTTCAATTTCCATAATTCTGTAAATTATTTTCAAGTTGTAAGAGCAAGTATAAATGAAGACTAAAATCACCAAAGTAATTTTTGTTGAAAACATTTTTTTAAAAAACAGATTAAGGCCCAAAACCATATCTGCATTGTATTTTATACAATATTCTTCCTTGTCAATGCTCAGAAAATATCTAAGCATGTCTAATCCTCAATAGCACTCTTTATTGTTTTTCATTATCCACTTTCGCATTTCATGCATGGAAGGAAAAATATTTTATATTATCCACTAATGCATTTTCGTCCATGGAAGAAAAAAAATCTTCTCTTGACTCAACAAAAATTTCAGACTCAGAATATACTGTATACTGTTTGGTCATAAACACATGGTTTTCACAAGCACCATAAGTGTGGAGAACAAAAATGCTACAACTAAAACAAGTTTTTCAGTACAAACAGAATTAACACAAGTTTATTTAATGAAAGAGGTAAAGAGGACAGGCCTATTTTATGCACAAAATTCAGTTCATAGTAATTCACTTTTTCTGTTTCTTCTTTTCTGCCTCCTCTTCTTTCTCTTTTTCAATTTCAGTAACATATTCCTCGATTTTCTCAGCATCCAGCATCTACAGAATATATTGGTACCATTAAACTTCAGTTAGAATGACAAAAAGGAAAAAGTAATAATATCAAGATTTCAAGAGCCAGAAAGAAAGTTGACAGTGTCATTAAGTAGTAATTAATAACAAAAAATGTAATACATTTAATTATATTAACATAGAAAATATCCTGAAACATCTCAACAAGATAGCCTCTTTCAGAGGATCATTCCCACTAAACAAAACAGTTTTCTAAGGGTGTATACCCTCTGAATGATGGCCACCCGCTCTACCCAAACAACAACCAAGAATTTTTATTGTGATGTATCATGAGGTTCCCTCAAAGACTACCTGAAAACTTAGCAATAAAATAAGTCACCCGACTCGTGACATTTTGTTGTAAGCCAAACAGTTTCTGGTGTCTCTCAGATAAGCAAAAGTTATTGGTCACGTAAGATTTGACAAAAATTTTAAATAAGATCCGGGAAAGGTACAGAAGCTTTCATTAAAAATAATGTTACAGAGGTAAAACAATACACCTAGATTACAATACTACAATCAATTATATGTAACAAGGCAAAGCATTTTATTGCAAAAACAATCCTTTGCCAGTGAACATTGGTAAGTGTAATGGGCAGCATGTCCCATGAAGCCTGAGCACTGTTTGTTTTCATCTTTCAATGTTCATGTTAGGAAACAGAATATCAGCTGAGCACCACTTAACTGTCGTCTGGCAGCAGTGTTTCAAGTATTCACAAAAATTCACCTGTTTTACAATACCTTCCACGAGATGTTTCTAATCATATATATATAATTCATGCCCCCTGCAAGCAGTGATGGATGTGAGTTAAAAAGGACTGACACGAGTTTGCAAGATGATGCTATCGCAGTTGCTTTTAAAAATTTCTAGGAAAAGTCACTAAGAAAGTATATTTTTCAGCACTTTATGAAAATAAAATAATGAAACAATTACATATGCTTCTGCATTATAACTACGGGTTATATACGCAGGCTATGCAACATTTTAAGGTTTTCCCTTCCCGTGAAAAACAGCCACTTTTTAAGCACAATTTCAAAAATGATAGTAACATCTTGCATACTGGTGATATGTATTATTGTAAAGGGGAAATGTTAATTATAACATCATTAAAATAGCATTAAATATCTCCTTTTAGTAAAAATAGTCAAAAACTGTCAATAGTTTGGGTCCAAGCACTCAGCGAGAAGAGCAGTCAAAAAAGTGTTAATGAATCACTTGTTTTCAAGCTACAATTTGCCATACTAAATTATTTAATTATGTTACAAATATATGTAGTTGTGAACATGGGGATTCTAGCAATTTATATTTATTAATAGAGGGGTATAAAGAGTACTATGTACAATAAATAGTTTCAATATTTAAAGGAATCTCATTAGCATGTTGTTCAAGAGTCTAACATTTTTGAACGTTGTAAGTAGGAAAACATATCAAACATCCTCCAAGTTTTCTGTTTCACAAGACAATAATATGGAAGAGAAACTCATTTATATGTAAATAACATACATGTAGAATAATCTAATTATTTGGAACACACACAGAATAAAAAATAAATACTCTGTTACCTTAATGATTCTCAAACACTACGTGCAATCTACATTACCAGAAAAACAAACAAACTAGTGTCCTGATTCTATTAAATTCATGTAACAAGTGTTTGAATAGATAGCAATGAACCACAGTATAATATGTTTTTCTGGCTCTGTAGTTAAAAAAAGAATCAGACAATATAATCAAAAGTACCCTGTTCAACATCTTGAATTTTGGACTATTTCATAAAAAACATCTATGCATTGTCATTTGTGTTCAAGAGTTAACTTATAAATGTGCAATTACATAATTAGCTGGGCCTTTCGCCGCATCATTTCGGCTTGAGATCTTTCACACGCAAGTAAATCTAACATAGAACAGCTGGCTTTACTTCCCCTCCAAAAAAAGGCGCATGTAAAAGGATTTTTTTGCCCTTAAAAATCCACGGGCTTGATTGGGTATGAACCCACCAACTTGGGTATAACAGCCTGATACGCTAACTGTTACACCATCGCTGCCGCCTATATCACTTAACTCTACTTCCAATTAATCTTATTCACATCAGCTTTTACTAACACAAATCTTCATATGTTATGTTTCTCAGTCTCCCATACTTCATATTTTTTGCGTGCTTGCAATACTTTGCAACATCTGAAAATAAATTAGAATCTTTAAATAACCCACCTGCATTGGTTCTCCTCGGCGCATAACCGCGATCTCCAAATTTTTCTGACCCGATTGTACAACTTCTAATAGAGCACGGATGGCTAGTTTAACAGTACCTTTCTCTGTTCCCACTGTTTCAGGAGTATAAAATTTTTCAAGAAACTCTCTAACAGTTTTTGCACTTCGTCCTGTTGCATTTGCCTGCAAACATATTTATAATTTTTTTTTAAATAAAAAATTAATTAGTAATTTATTGCACAAGAGCCATGCCCATTGTGTAAAAGATAACTTGTGTTTTTCTACCTTCCATTCATAATAAATGCCTGAGGGCTCAGTCTGATATAAATGAGGCACACCATCATAATCAAAACCAGCCAACAAACAAGATATGCCAAAAGGTCTGCGACCATTACTCTGTGTATATTTCTGTTTCAATCCTGAAATCAAAACGAAGAAATAAGCATAGGAATGGTATTTTTTGGTAAGATAAGCAATAATGATGTACACTGAAAAACAAACACTTAAGCAACATAGGTACATTAATATGGCAGTTGATTAATACGGTTAGATTTAAATTGCTGATTTACATAGAGAGTTAAATCAAATGATTTTTTAAAAAATGAACAATTTAAATAACTTTTTTAAAAGTTTTAAAATAAATATTGATTTTGTCATGTAAATTTCAAAGAATATCAAATAATGATTTTGTCAGCATTTGTAACATTTTTAGGATTTCTGGGGGGGAAATATGGATATGAAGCTAAAAACTGTATTCAGAATTATTTTACTTCAATAGAAACTATTTAAGATCAATACTACAATGATATTCTCTTACAGATTATTCTTGGGATTCAAATGTTTTCACAAAAACCCAAGTTAGGCAGTCTTTTTAGATTCCAACATGGATTTCATCACAGTGAATCATGGTGGTTGTTGTGTTTTAGTTATTGTTGTTAGTGTGTGTTTTCTGTGAGCCAACAATTTTTCTTCCTCACATCTAACTCTTATTTGTTCTACATTCAAAGTGCATGTAGTACAAATAAGTATTTGTCTTTAAAATAGTTTTTCAAAACTCTTTTCTCCACTACACCAAATAAGTGAAACAGTTTTTCGGAGATTTTTAAAACTTATTATTTACTGTATTACTGCAGAGAACAGTATGTTCAATCTCACAAACCCTCACCACACTCTTTAGTTTGCCTTGCCTATTTTAACATACAATAATCAACATTTCACTTACAGAATTACAGATTCAAAGTTAACCATTCAGAGAGATGAGATTCTATAAAAAGAAGAGACTATGAAAGCTGATTCTTCCATTTCATGATTTACATTCTTTATAAATATTTAAACAAAACATACCTGCAATGTATCGTGTGATGTACTCAAGTGTTACAGGATCTTCTACAGTAAGCCTATGGGACTGACATTCAATTTGGGCACGAGTGATTAATATTCTGGCATCAGCTGTAAGACCTAGGATTCAAGAAAATAACAAGTCATCATTTTATAACTTTAGTGCAGTTACTTTTAATTTTTGCTAAAAAATACATGGATTTCCAGAAGTTACCAAAAAAATCACATTAATCTAATAACTGTCAACATTTTTCGATATGGAATGTTTGTGAACCCAATTTGGTCAATTCATTCATAACCACCCACTTCAAAAGAATTATGCAAAATTTCTTGCTCATTCTTTTCGATTTAGAATTAAAATATTTTCCCCAACACAATTCCAACCACTGTAAATTTATCTTGGCAAACACATGGGTTCATACATATAATTTCCAAATTAGATAATCGGAAAAGAAAGCGACAAAATAAACACACATATAACATACCAGCAAAAGCCATCACTACATGTTCATCCAGTAGACATATTTTTCTCACAGTTCTTTCTTCTTGTAATTTAGCAACAGACTTCTTCTCGACACCTAATACAACAACATTTTCTCCGCGAACACCAACCTATAAAATACGAACAGAAAACAAATAAAATCAGAGGAATTCAACTCATTTCCAATACTTCATCTCATAATCTTGTCATGACAAGGCTGTTTTGAAGACATTATTTCAAGAATTTTCTCTCACCGCCGTTGATCCTTTTCTCACAGCTTCTTGGGCGTATTCCACTTGTAATAAATGACCATCTGGAGAAAAAACTGTGATAGCTCTATCGTACCTCGAACTCATCTTTTAAACGGCAATAACCTCCTTCAATCACACGAACTTTCCGCTGCAGGTCTGTAACACTACAGCATAGAACATGCAACGTATAAACCCTCGAAGTTCAGTCAAAGAATGTTTAATATCATTCACTCTGAATATTGAGCTTTGTCATTGAATGCAAGGAATAATTAGTGGTGCTATAACCACAGTATACTGAGTACGCAACCACAGTATATATTTTTTTAATTCAAACGTTTAAACGAAAACAGCTTTTTGCTATTGAAGTCAGTGTATTATATCCGCAAGTTTTCTTGAATCCCGGAATATCTATGCCCACTCCTTTCCCAACATTAGTTGAATTAGGAATAAATGATAGCAACGAGCGTTGTAGATAAAATTTGGTAACGAGAAATGTTCACTCCCGTGTATTAGAAACTATTTTGGATGGAAAAAATAAACTACAAATTCGACGTAAAATTCGTTTTGTCAAAATACTCAAACTCCCCACTCCTCTCGCATGTAACAAAGCGAGGGCTCAAGAAAAGTACTACCAGGGTTGCACGATGCGTTTTTAATCTTAAAATTATTAGTTTATATTAACGCGAAGGAACTGCGGCCGTCATTATCGCTTTGTGTTATCAGTGAGGTGTTACAACAATGTGTTGCAGCACAACAATGGCTGCTAATTCGGGTGGGATACAACATTTTGCAAATTAGCAATGTTAATGCCCCTGGCAAGAAAAAAAAATGGATACAAAATATCACAATTAAATATAATAATATTATATTCATCAAAACTACTCAGTTTTCACGCGCATTGTTCTGCATTCCCACATATTATTATGCAAAGCGAAATCATATATTCTTCACATTAACCTTTTCACATTTAACCAGTAGTGGCTATGCCTTTAATTAAGGGAGGGGGAGCAGGGTTGCGTGCAAAAATAGAAAATGGATTAAGATGTACTCAATACTGGTGAAGATCTTCCGCGAGCTTTTTTATCGCACTTTTCTTGAAGAGTTAACTTTCTAAATTTCACAGTTTTTAAATATTGAACACAATTACTATTCGTATTGAGGGAAAGCAAAATACCTTATAGGATTTTTGTATTCGAAATGCAAAATATTAATCCAGTGTAGCAAGTGAAATATAAGAAATTGCGTAAAGGCACAAATTAAAAGGAGTCATAGAGAATGCAAGCCTTCAGAAAATGTAAATATTATATGCATTAAATAAATTTTGGATAATTTCGTCTTTTTCTTGAAAATGGAGCATATTAATAACATGGGGCATTATTGATATGAGACGAGAGGCTAGATGCATAGTTGCGGGGGCGACAACGTTTTGATTCACAGAAATAACAATCAAACAAGTGAACTGGTTAAGACAGATCGTAGGTGAAAACGAACACTTTAGGACAGAAGAACTATATTGGATTTTGTAGTATGAGGATCAATGGGCGTCAGGGAGTTGAGTAATAATAGTTTGTTGTTAGTTCGTGTGAGATAGAAAATGGACATGTGGTCCACGAATATCAGAGAATAGGGAAGTAAATAAATTGTAACTGATTAGCGAAGAAATAGAAATATTCGGTAACATTGGGTCGCGAATTGTAGCAAAACTTAAAAGTAAAGTCAGTGTGGTAATAAGAAGAGCTCCAGTATGGAATTATGGAATAGTCGCTGATCTCGTCACAACAAGATGCTGGAATAATCTCACAAAGGAAAGTTTTGACATAAAGTGACAAAAATACGTTAATAGACACGTTAGCTAGGCCAATATATATATATATATATATATATATATATATATATATATATATATATATATATATTGAACGAAGAACGTTTCTGTATTGTAATAATCAAAGTTGATCAATAATTATAATTAAAAAATAAGTACTGAATTGATCAGAGCAGTAACGCCCGCGCCGCCGCCGCTGCCACCAACGGTCAAATCGGGGGTAGACGGCGAGGCGAGCGACGGTTGGGAGTGTGCGCAGAGAGGCCGTGAGTGAAACACGGACGGGGCAGTGCTGCATCAAAACAAATTTATGGTGATGTTAAGAAACAGTTTGGATTGAATGTGGCGGTTAGTGAGAGACTAGATTTGATAAACGTTAATAATCAGATGATTGTGAAAGTGGAAGGGCGCACCAGAACCGAAATCAAAACCATTAATACAGGAATTCGTGTGGCCGACGGACACCTGTTATATTTCTGCCGGTGTAATGCAGCAGCGGGCCGTACTGTGCAGACATTTGCGCGAGATTGAGAGGGAATGCTGAGACTGGAATTGCTGACGGGCGTCAATCGCGCGTCGTTCGTGTTGGTGCCAGTGAGACATTGTTGTACCGGCTGGGGGGGGTGGACCGCGCGAATTCATCGCCGTTGCGTTGGGGGCCAGCGGAGTTGATCGCCGAGGAGAGCGATTTCCCGACGGACTTCGGGGCGGACCGAAGGTTGCCGAAGACGCCGCCGCCGTTGCACGGCGGCCCCGCTCGTCTCCAGCCACAGGTGGTTATTAAAAGCATCAAGGTAGCGTTTGATTGTGCACTTATTACCAAAGGCCTTGCGCATTGCGTTTTGTAAATAATCTTTGTAAAGAGTGTTTCTATTATTAAAATATTTAAATGCACAAAAGATTTCTTATGATCATCTTCCAATGCAGCGCCAAACCCCTGAAGCCATTCACGAAATGTACCTGTCCTTTGTACAATTTATTTTGTCGTGAGAATACCGCTTCCCAGGTACGTCACAATATATATTATATATATATATATATATATATATTATATATATATAATATTATATATATATATATATAAGAGAGAGAGAGAGAGAGAGAGAGAAGAGAAGAGAGAGAGGATAAGTATATGTAATACAAGCATTAAACCATACACAGATTATTTTTTTCTGAAATTGCTCCACATTTTTTCTTGAAGTTTTTTCTTCGTATATACTCCTCGTATTTACCGTACTTTGGAATGGTAAAAAAGATATAGTGCTAATCCCATTTTCGGAAAACTTTCTGTACTTTCAAAAGAATACAAAATGTTAATTTTCAGAACTACAAAATTGAAGATAGCAATGTTTGCAGAGTATGTGGTAAAAAATCAGTTCTTTAAAAAAGGTCCTTTTCAATTTATGAATAAAGAACGAGTAGATTTCGCGTAATTTGTGTTTGATATTATTGCAATTAAAAAAATTGTATCAAAAATTGCTCCAAATTTTTTTATTAAATTCTGTCCTGGTAGGACAAAGGACAAAAAAGTATGGTTTAGCCTCGGTTTCCGTATTTTCGAAAATTGCAAAAATTGCGTTTTCGAAATATTGGCTTGAGACAATTAAATATTTAAGCGTCGGTCAGTGTCGGCGTTTGCTGTAGCATAGTGGTAGGGCTGATGGGAGTTAACGCGGAGGGCCTGAGTTCGGGTCTTGGTACAGATGAACATTTTGATGGTTGAAAACACTTGCAGCTTATTGAATAGTGCAATACAGCGGAGAATTTAGAAATAATGCGAGAAAGTATTGTTATTTTAGCTTTACAAATTTCTTTAAACATATTGAATGGATATTGTTGAATGCACTGAATAACTTGGTTTCCATTTAATTATATTTTCATCAACCATCAATCATTCCCATCAACTAGTTATTCAATGGTTTTATTCTGACCTTGAGCAAAGTTCTTAAAAAGGCTCGTAAAATGTAGGAATAATGTTAAAGCAACATGAAGTCAATGGTGCATACTTGCTAGATAAACAGCTCTCGTCTCCAAGGTGATTCGCCAGCTATTTCTTCTTCTCGAACTCCATTCCAGCCTTACCTCCTTGCGTAACCCGGATTACGTTAAATTTTTGAGAGATTTAGCTAGATCACTTCACTTTCAGACCCCGGCAGTTCCTTCCATGAATCAACTGAAATAATGTTCATCATTTCCTTTAAAAATTGTGCACCTTCTAATTTTTGGCAGGACAATAGTATAAACGTAATTAGCAGAAAAAAGTCAACAACGTTAGTCCAGACTACCGTATAATTCTGGTCAACCGAAATAAAGACATATACGGATAAGGGTTTTTAAATCAATTTTGCATATTGTTTAAGAAATTCCGATTTTGCTGTTTAAGCATCATAACTCATTTCAGCCGTTTTTATGATCTATATGATTTACGTATTTACCTTTGATTTACGTGTTTGAATGAAAGGGATGTGTATTAAAATAATGACGTTAATAAGGGAGGAATAAAAAAGTTAAAACTTAAGCATCCGGACCCTAGTAGGTATTACAGAGTCCTTTACAATTATTGTACTCATTGCGAATATTTGCATAACTCCAATTTACAGTATTTCTTCTTAATTTCAATAAAACGTAGGATATTAATGTAATAAAAATCTTCTGACGTAACTCATTTATACATTAAAGTACTAATAAAAAAGTTATTGTTTTTAGACTGGTCACATGTTGCGTGAAAAGACAAATGCAGTGTTTATAATACTGCTAAAATCCGAACCGGGCTAATTCCCGCTTTCCTCAATATAAAACGACTGGCTAAAATCCGAAGAAAGAACTTTTTCTAAGCAGAATGTAGTTGACATAAATACCCCAACACAATGCGGCTAGGGTAGGGGAAGTACTTAGCCACGATGAGGAATATGTGATAAACATCAGACTGATTGTGAGAAGTTCCTAAAAATGGTGAGTGCCAAGGTGTGTTGTTTCGATTTCCTCTGTGTCAATGGTACATTTTTATTTACACCTTACTGCCTCACCTAACCTGACCTAACCTAACCTCACTGTATACTTCGGTTGACGCTTAGCTACGCATTCCCGAATTGGTGGGAGGTTCAGTTCTTCGACATTCGCGATTTTCGTAAAAGTCTTCAATTTATTCAACGCCGACTTAGATGACCGAGGTGGCTAGAGCGTGTGCCAACTCAACGTTTTGGTCTTGAACCTTGCCCACGCGGGTTCAAGTCCCGCCGTGGGCGAGGTTGTTTGGCCCTTGTCTTTCATGTTTGGGTAGGGTAGGGTAGGTCGCGGAGGGCCTTGAGACTTAGTTACCCACAGTCCGAGGAGCCTGTGCGTCAGTGTCTAGTGTAAAGGTTAATATGTGTTCCCATGACGGACACAGTGGGTATCCCCTGACGCTGGAAAAAGCCGCTGGAAGAAAAAAAGTAGTGGTGCCACAACACACTTTCTCGCGTTATTGGATACAGCTAACAAAAACAATACATTAATTATAATACATGCAATTCACATAAAATAATTACGAACATTTGTGAGATGCATTTCGTAGTAAAATAACAGTTATGATAGCGTTTCATTCCAACACTGATTTCTAACATCCATACTTCAGATACGATAAACACCATTGCTTCTCAACAAAGAGTCCATGGTTTCTCAAAAGAGAGAAGGTATAAAAAAACAAGAGCTACTCAAGTGCTTCTCAATCGATGTGGCATTGTTGTGAAATTTCTATTAAGCTTTGCGGATTGCTTAGAAAGAAATTCATCAATACATTCATATAATCATTGAGTAAAAAGTAAAAAAGTGAGAAAGAAAAATATAATTAATATTGGAATAGGAAATTATAATTAAAATTAAATTAATTTTTTTCTTATTATTCATTTAATTTTTCTCGTGGGCTGTAGTTTGTGTGAAACCTGTATAGTTTTCATTAATTTATCCAGCAGAAATTACGTAAAAACTACTTATTTTTTAAAATATTGTACAGAGCCTTTTTTTAAAGAGATTATTTTGTACAACAAACTTTATTTCAGGAAAAAAGCTTGTCTTCAATTTTGAAGTTTGAAATGTTTTTGGCAATTTTCGAAAAAGCGAGCAATCCCCGAAAATGAGACCAGCGCCATATTTGTTACTGTTCCTTATTACATATGTGAAGAAAATGTAAAGAAAAAAATTTGGAGCGGTTTTAATATTTTTTTTGTAAATTTCAATCGCAAATTACGCGAAAACGATAGGTTTTTGCAAAAAAATGTTCATAACCTTTTTTAAAGAACAAATTTTGAATAACCGATTTTGTTTAAGGCAAAAAACTAAATCTTCAATTGTGTAGTTTTAAAATGTTTTTATTGACATTTTCAAAAAAACAAGTAATAGCCGAAAATGAGACTAGCACCAAATTTGTATCCTCTTTTATTACACAATTGAAGAAAATTGAAGAAAAAATGTGAAGCGCGGTTTTGAGAATTTGTTTTGTAAATTTCAATCGCAAAATACGCAAAAACTGCTCTGTTTTCAGGTAAATTGTTCATGACCTCTTTGTAAGAGCTAATTTTGTACAATAGACATTGTCTGAGACAAAAATATCCTCCCCCCAAATTTCGAAAAATCGCGGTTGTCAACGAAAATGAGACGTGCGCTATTCTCTTAAACGTCCTTTGCACGATTCAACAAAATTTATTAAAAACATTTGGAGCCTTTTTTTTTCAATTTTGAAAATGTTCCAGGAAATTCATGTAAAGTACCCTCGAAAATAAAAATAAAAAATCGGTTTCAAATTCCAGGGTACCCGGCATTAGCTAGAACGATTGGGGAATATTAAATCTGGATAAAAGCGGCTGAATGGTTTATGCGCTGGCGTTGTGCATGGACGAACGGACAGACACGTTTTGCTGTTAATCGACTTTTCGGTATCAAGGACCCACAATCCATGGAGTTTGGCTACACCCCGCGTTAGAGTATTTTTGTCAATATTTAGCAACTGGATTTATCCACTTTTCCATCACCAGGGGCCGGCAATAAGAGTTTTTTGAGGGCGCAATTCTGGCTTCAGATTCTGATTCAGCACGTCGAAATACATAGAGAAACAATTGTTAAGTCTTTGGGGCTGACAACATTTGTGTGTGTGTGTGTGTGTGTGTGTATGTTTGTGTAATCTTAGTTTAGCTAGAGCCCTGTGGGTAATATTAACATTAAACGGATGAAGTTCGAAATCATCAGTTCATTGCCATTTGTATAGGTTTAATCAAACAGTATGGCTAATGCATGAATTAACCTGCTACTCCTAACATCAGACATATTTCTGACTTAAGTGTAACATACCAGCCTACATTACTTAAGGACAATATGCGCCGTAGGCACCATTGGAGAAGATAAGGAAATATCTCCATAATTTGTATAAGAAAATGCTAATTTATCATTCCCCTATTCTGCATTCTTCAGTCTTCATTCCTTCGGTGATTTTCTATACAAGATTCCTTCCACAAGTAGTCTTTTTTCATCATGTAATTTCACTGTACTATACTCACTGAACCTCACACAGGAACGATATTAGGTACTACCAAACGTCTACAAATAATGGTTCACATATTTACTATCAAATTCTGTTTTATTCATTGACTCAGATGTAAAATGTATCGTGTTTTGTATAAATACAAAGATTTCAGACACGTTTGTATTAATGAGAAACGTTCTACACTGCCAGTCTTGGCAATATTGAAAATGCAAATCAGAATTATGATCTAATTAGACATTTTTACTTCGTTTTTAATGATATATAAATACATTTTAACAATTCACTTAACCAGGAAACACTCAATAATTTAACCAAGAAACTGAATCAAGAATTTAGAAAATGATTCTTTCAAGAATTGTATATTTCCTTTATTCTACATACTCGTTTTTTGAACGTCGGCAGCAACAGTGCTGTAAATATTTAATTAAAAAAATATAAGCGATCGTGCGTCACGGCAAATGATAAATTATAGAAGAAAAATGTTCAAACTTACGAGAACAAAAAACCCACATTACAACACATTTTCTGTATAAAATATTTGACGCATTGACTTGAAGTGCGTTGGATGGACTGCACGAGGTAAATATGCCTCAAATGATTTAAAAGGAACTTGCGATATGGCGGGTGTCATATGAGGAAGGGCCATTTTGCAAAACACGACCGCTACAGCGTCGAGTTTTTTAAATTTTTGGGTGAAAGACCCGACGTCATCAGCGAGATAAACTCGAGAAGCAGTCTTTAGCGAATAGCACAAATTGAAGCCATTCCCCAGAAGAGAAGTGTCTGTCATGAAACCGCCAAGCAGCTAGGGAGATCGCGGGTGGCGGTGGACTCCGGCGCAGTCTGCTCAGGCTGGTGGCCCTGGCGGGCTCCTGGTGCCGCGGGGCCTCCTCATCACCGTGCGCGCCGTGGTGCTGTTCACTACCTCCATGACAGGCTCCACTGCCTCCACCTGCATCCACAACATAGAAGCACAGCTGACATGAGAGTTTATATAGTATCTTTATTACGATTCTCAGTGCCGAGTATTCAGTAACTAAATTAGAAATTAAAAATGCCAAATATACATTTAATTAATAATATTACCTACAGTTCACGTGAATAGAACTAAAAATCTCAGGAAATTCGGAGTTAACTAGACATTGTCTATATTGAATTTTTGAAAGAATGCAGTATTTTAGTTGAAACTTGTGCTAGTTAATCAAGAAGTAATCTCCAGAATTGGTGGTTTGTCAGCGGCGGCGTCGTGTCAGCGGCAGTAAATGGAAATCTCAGCAACAGTGGAGAGTAAGTATATGTGTGTGTGTGTGTGTGTGTGTGTGTGTGTGTGTGTGTGTGTGTGTGAGAGAGAGAGAGAGAGAGAGAGAGAGAGAGAGAGAGAGAGAGAGAGAATAAGGGGAGAGGGTACAACAGGGAAGAGAAAGGAAATATCTAACACGGTCCGTATCACTTTTGTTAAGGTACTGCCTCGACGTTTGGCTGATATTTAAAGACAAAAACCCCGGAAAACTATCGATCAGAGTAACATGCCGCTAGAATTCTCCTCCAGGGAATGGCTGAAGGCGGCAGAGATTTGAGCTAACGTAGAAGAACCCTACGACATCCCAAAAACGCTGCAGAGTCAGCGTCAACCCTCATCCCACTGAACAATGTCATTCCCACACCTCTGATAAACCACTCACCTCAAAATGTATTAACAGCTTTAGTCCCCTCCCTGCCTATGACCCCACATGCCCACTCACAATGAAAACTAGAAAGTTTCGCCAAGAAAAATTGCAAAACTCCTCAACCCACCACTCCAACTAACTCCAAAACTCTCATCTAAGAACCCAAAACCAGTCCTACATCTCTCCTACCCACGTACCCCAAACCACCATCCAACAACAAACTACTCAATCAACTCAAGACATTAAAGACTTCGTGCCCCTCCTCCAAAATCCCACAGTTAAAAAGATCCTAAACCTGTAACTCCTCCTCGAAATTCTGAAAGGCCCAGAGGATATTATTACCAAATTAATTACTGCTAGTGCATCCTAACTAAATGTCTCCTCCTCTTCGAATTCTAACCCTATCCTCGTGGAAAGCGCGAGGCGGTATAACCCAGAAAAAATCCTTACCCTATTACTTAAAGACAATTCCATTGCAATTTTTTCCTACAAGAGACTTAACTGACGCCCGACAGATCCCTCTCCATTGCTTACTACATCACCACCAAGACAACCACGAGGAGCGACAGAACCTTATCCACTGGGGGGCGGAACGGCTATCCTCACCCGACGATCTACCCCACACCTCTTACCAACTCCTTCCAACAAACTCTCTGGAATGTACAAATTCGACCCTATATTCCTGACATCTACTCCCTACTCCAACATCACCTTAACCATCGATCATCCCACATCCGTCACCTAGCAAAAACCTCCTCCACTACCCTCTCCAAGCCGGCGTCCCACAAGGTGCCGTGCTATCCCCTATCATCTTTTCCATCTACATTAATGATGTCCCACCCACACTTGGAGAACAAACTCATTTATGCCGATGACCTTCCCTTCTATGCACCCTTCCGTTCTTTCAACCGATCCTTATCCTACCTTCAAGAATGTCTCAACAACGTCCACCTCTGGGCCTTCCAAAATTCCGTTACCACCAATTCATCCAAATCCCAACCCATCCTTTTCCCCATAAATCTTGCCCATTCAACACCCTCACCATAGCAATCCACTGGAAATCAAAAGTATCCTGCCTTTCCCGAAGACTCCTTTGGTGCCGCCACATCCACCAAGCTTCTGCCAAAGCCACCGCAATCACCAACACCTCATAGCTCTTCCTTACAAATCCCTCCATACCCATCAAGAGAAAAATCCAAACATACTCCTATATACATCCCATCCTGTCATATGCCCATCCCACCTGGTTCGCTACCTCCCACCGAAACCGCAGAAAACTCACTAGTGTCGAAAACTTTTACAACCGTCTCATTTTCCACCCACCAATTACAATTCCATACGTACGGAAAAGAAAATACCCCACATCATCGCATACCTCCACAACTCCCCAATAGCCCAAATTCAGAAATACATTAACAACCCGCTATTCCGAGATCTAATCCTTTCCCACCACCACCACCACATACTCAGAAAACCGCCTCCGACACACCCAGAAAAAGCGCACATTAGACATTCTTCAACTCCCTCCCCATCATCTAAGCCACTTACCAGAACAAACTAATACAGCTAAAGACGCCGTCGAAAACTCCGCCTGTCTCCATCCCTTGCTCGACCCCTCCCTCTCATCCTACCCCCACCCGCACCTATGCCCGTCCCTCCCCTCCCCGCCCCCATCATCCAAAACCCTAACAAAATAAATCTTCATTCCACGAACAAAATAACACGTCTACCACAACCCAGCCTCCCGATTCCGGTCCCCGTACGGGGGAGAGGACTCCGATGCGAGAACAAACATGAAACCCCTGTACTGGTCATTACGGTAGTGTCGTGAAAACTCCCGATTGGAGAGCTGTAACAGTGGGTAACCTGTCAAAGGCAGTCATGGATAAATTGTAGTATAATTCGAAAAAACACCGCTAGGGGTCAGGCGAACATCGAGAAAAACGCCAAATACATTCGTTTGAGTTTAGATCTTAAATATATCCTTGTGATGAAATAGTGGAAATTAAGTTTGAAAACAGATAAGGAGATGAATCTCCCGTGCCGCACCTTGAGCCCGGGGAAGCGATCGCAGTCGGAGCGCTTGGCGCGGCAGTGGTCGAGCGGCGTCTGGCCTGCTAGGTCTTGCGCCGCCGGGTCGGCGCCCGCCGCCAGCAGCGCCCGGATGGCGCCTTGGTGGCCCGCGGCGGCGGCGCGGTGCAGCGGCGTGGCGCGCTCCCCGTCACGCGCGTCCACCTCCGCGCCCTCCGCCGCCAGGAGCGCCACCAGCGCCGCCTCGTGTCCACCTTCCGCCGCGCGGTGCGCTGCCGTCGCCTGTACCAAACACACCGGCATTATTGCCTTGGGGGAAATGTGTATATTGTACTTAACTGACCCTATACTTGTTTTTTTTTTTACCGTGGCGACTCAGGGCCCGTCTTCACTATGGAATATTTCGCCTCATTTCGCGTCTTTCTCGGTCGTGCCCCTAAATGTCGTATGATCGCGACCGTATCAAGCACTCCGATGTGTCTAGTGGCATCTAGCGGCACGACTGAGAAAGACGCGAAATGCCGTGAGATATTCCATCATGAAGGCAGGCCCTGACACGCCACGTTAAAAGAAACAGAAATTATACATTGCCCACATGTTTGCAGTACGTGAATAGTTGTTAATGTCACTGGGCCAACAAACATTTTTCCTACAACTATAATATTGAAGAGAGCGATTTTTTCCCTAAATGAAATCTATTCCTTAAAGACATCTTGAAATAAGATCAAGTTCACCCTTTCGAAAATATGAGTATATTACGAATAACATTTCTGCCTACTTGACAGAGGGGAGAAGTTCCATTATCCAATCAGAGGCTTCAAATTCTGATGTCATTGCAGAGTTTCCGATGCTTATTAAGAAAGAAATGAATCCTCATAGCGCGAGGCAACTGTAAATTGAAGAGCGTTATTACTTCTTTGGTTGTGCATCGCGTCGGCGGATCGGTGTCCTCTTATATTGTGTGCTCTTATTGCGGTTTGTTTCGTACTAATGTGATTTGATATGAGAACGACCACATGACCACGTGCCTGTCCCCTGAGTTAGTGGTAACATTTCTCTAGCCCCACCTAAGCTGTCAAGTAGGCAGAAATATTATTCGTAGAATAGTTTTCGATTAATTTTGCACGAAGACAGACATTTTGCACGACACGCAGACATTAAAAATCTCAAAAATTGATCCATATTTTTCTAAAATTTTTTTCCACATATGTAGTAAACATATAGCGCTAGTTTCATTTTCGAGTATTGCTTCCATTTTCGAAAATTGCAAAAAGTTATATCTAAACAACAAAATTGAAGAGAGATTTTTCCTCCAGATAAGTCTGAGGTAAAAAATCAGCTCTTTTAAAAAAGGTCGGGTACCATTTTTTGAAAAAATGAGTAGTTTTTGCATAATTTGAGCATGCAATTTACGTATTTATTAAAAAAGTATTTTCTCGATAACCACTGAAAATGTTTAAATTTTTCCCATGGATAGAAGAAGGGAGGCTTAAAAGAATGACGTAAGTCTCATTTTGCGTTGACTGTCCGAATTTTCGAAAATTGCAAAAACCTTTTTGGAAACTAGAAAGGAAGAAAATAATATAGAGATGTTTGTCTTAAACAAAATATATTCTAGGAAATCAGATCATTAAAAAGGTCTTATAAATTAGTTTGAAAAACTAGTAGTTTTCGCGAAGTTTCTGCTTGAAATTAATGAAATATATATGTATTGACGTATTTTCTTTCAAGCTCTTGGCAAATCTTAATTGAAATTTACGCAACAATACCGCAATGGATATTTGATAAGTTCATTGTTGAATGGCGAGATGATGGTGGCAATAAAAGCGGCGATACGATAAAACACGTTTTATTTACATCCGAGCTTGTTAATACGTTTACAAATAAGGCTTTTAGAAATGATTTGAAACCTATTTGATAATCCGTATTTCTGTTCGTGTTGCGAGGTATAGAACATTACATAAGAGACTTCCCACTGAACGAAATGTCGCTTTTCTATGCATATTTCAGCATTTCAACAGCAATACCTTCCATATCATACTCTTTCAAAATTTCAAGAAGTATAAAGAAATACAGTAGAACTTCAATTATACGTTTTTGTCAATGAAAGTTAGGTTCGCTTTTAGGGTAAACATTTTGTGAGTTGAAAATTAAACAAGGATTTCCAAAACTTAAGGATTAATTTTATATGTTACAATGTAAATGTTTTTTTGTACATTTTCAAATACTCCATCTAAAATACGGTTACATTATAGTCACTAAACGCCCTGCTGTGCCTGCATAAGTATAATTTGAATTTCTCTTGCGCGAATAATATTTACTTTCTCACTACCGCTACCGCGGTATAAAGTCATGTAATGCTGCGCGAAAAAATGCGAATTTTCTGCGGACAACTCTCCTTACAGGACCCTAGAAACGAAAAAGTGGATAAATCCAGTTAATAAATTTAGAAAACAAATTCTCTAACACGTGATGTAGTCAGAATTCACCTTTTTATGGGTCCTTGATATCGAAAAATTGATTGACGGCAAAACGTCTGACCGTCTGTGAACAATGCTATCGGCTAAAGCGTTCAGCCGATTTTCTCCAAAATTGATATTCCCCAAAAGATCTACTAGCTGATGTCGCGACCCCTCGAATTTGAAACAAATATCTTAATTTTTGGGTATACTTTACATCAAGTCCTTGGTACATTTTCAAATTAAAAAAATAATAAAATAAAAAAAACGGTTCCCTCGATTTTGATTAAGTTTTGTTGGTTTGTTTGAAGGACGTTTAAGAGAATGGCTCAGGTCTCATGTTGGCTGAAAACATTTATTTTTCGAAAATTAAAAAAAAAAAGTTTTCGGGGTCCTCCTACAGCTAAAATATTAAAGACAGATTTTTTCCCTTCATAAAATCTATTCCTTAAAGATAGATTTTAAAATAAAGGTCACGTACAAGTTTACGAAAAATTGAGTATTTTTCGCGTAATTTTGATGTACGTAATGTTTAATTTTGTTTAAACATTTTTTTCTCAAAAATAGCTCCATCGATTTTGATTAAACTTTGTTGTTGGATAGTCTGAAGAGTATTTATGAAAGCTGTAAAGGTCTCAGGTTGGTGGATAACTGACTTTTAGAAAATTGGATAAATTTGAAATTTGTTCCGCGTCTTCATACAACTACAATTCTGAAGATATCTTTTTTCTTAATGAAATGTGTTCATCAAAATTAAAATTTTTAAGCGGAATATATTTTGTTAATTTTTTGTAACACATCGGCAATTTGTATTTTCTTTAAACCATTTTTTCTTAAAAACCGTTCAACGTTTTTTGATTTAATTGGAACCTTACAGCATAATGAACGCTTAAGAGTGATGCACGTCTTATGGTCGTTGAAATGCCTGATTTTAATCTTTTTTTTTTTTTTAAATTGAAAATGGTATCTTCCTACAACTACAGTTGTGAAGATTCAATTTGTTTTCTTAATGGCATGTGATCATAAATACAGATCTTCAAGTAAAGTCATGATGATTTTTTTTTGCAAATATCAGTAGTTTTCGTGTAATGTGACTACAAAGTCGCCCGCTCCAAATTTACTGCGATTCGTGGACATAGCTGAGAAGTGTTTGAAATCTATTGGAATTCTTATAAAAGAAAGTAGATTGATGGATGAAAATAAATTTAACTTGGCACTAACAAATTACTTCTTTACTTCAAGAATTATTTATCGTTGATTATGGTATGTTTCATTTCTGAAAGTTAGAAATGACTATGTTCCTGGCTATCGAAATAAATGCAGGTATTCACCACAAGCGCTTTCTTTTCAACTGGTTGGATTTCGATTATATAAGTATTATTTCTAATACCTTACACGAAAGAAAAATTGAACAAATTGTGTTCTATTAATTTTTATGAACATTTAATTTTATATTACTACATGCGCTGCCTTGGGAAATGATGCAGCGATGTATATTTTAGAGGTTCATTGTTGAACGACAACAATTATAAGATAATGAAATGTTAAATGCTGTTGAATTCTTCTCTTTGCTTAACATTGGCATGAAACCGGCGTGAGGCTTGTTTTATTTATATAAATTTAAACAACGTCAAAAACGAGAAAAACTGAGTGTGACGTATTATGGGAAGATATGTATTAGGTGAACGTGTTTGTAAATTCAAGTATACCTACCCGCCCTAACCCATTTACATATTGAATTCTGAATGCAATAACAGTAATGCAGTAGTAGTAGAGACAATTTGAGGAAATTTTCTTGGGTGTGAAAACGTATAGAGCATTTTGCATTGCTTATTCAGACAAGGGGTAACGCGTTAAAACAACCATATTTGGTGAATATTACAATCCTATTATGTTTAATAATCATTATTATTATTATACATTTTCGATATATCATATATAGTATTATTATTATCAATATTTCGATAAGAAATATAAGAATCATCATATTTTAGGTATATTGAAAAACTATTAGAATAATCATATTTTAAGTTATTTTGAATAAATATTAGAATAATAATATTTAGAATTATATTGAAGAGATATTAGAATAATCATCTTTAAAGCTAATAACTCAATCCCCCCCAATTGGGAGTGCCCTTGTTCTGCTGAGCCGCCGTTGTTTGGGCAAGGGGCTGCGCGCGCGCTCACCTTGCCACTTGTCGCGGGCGCCCGGGTCGGCCTGCGCAGGCGAGCAGCGCGTGCACGTGCGGCGGCAATGGCCGCCCATGGGCGCAGCTGTAGCGCCGTGGTCGTGGCGGTCGGCGCGCCGCATGTCGGGCGCCGCCCGGCGCGCGCGGCACCGCGGCCGCGCGCGCTGCATCGGCCGCCGCGTGCAGCGCGTGCGGCCTCGCCGTCCGCGGCGCCGCGCGCGCCCGGCGCGCAGCAGCGCGCGGGCACCGCCTCCCGGCCGCGCGCGCGCCTGCAGGGTACGTTTATGGTTGGAGCTCATAATAGAAGCAGCGCTGTGAGCCAAGGCAAGAGAACGTTTTGCCATGTAATCAAATGGAGGTGTTCACAGTTGGGTCAGCGGCGCTGCTCCGGGATCAGCGCTGCGACTGCGATAGAGGGCGAAAACCTTTGGTAGGTTTTCCGCTGCTAGTATCGCTGGTCCACACTGTTTCACAGCTGACACACTTTCAGTGTTGTAAGTGTCGAATAAAATGATTGCAGAGCATTTATCATTTGTGTTTTTGTTAGAGTAATTGTGGGACAAAAGACACACATCACCGCAATATTTCGTTAGACTGCTCCTTCCTCCATTCGTTCGTTTGCATTTGGCTACTTGTAAATAGTTACGAACGCTCTGGCCTGTTATGTCTGTCCGAAATATATGCGCCAGAGAAATAATTGAAAAGGAAGTATAAAGCTTTGTGCTCTTCTGTAAAAATTATTTCTTCTTATAAAAAATTTACATTGAATTTAGGTTTTAGTTTTTTAAGGTGACAAGTATTATGTTTGTTTTAAAATCGAGTTTGAATTGTGAGATGCGTACTCGTGACGTGCAGGTTTACTTCTCTGGAGTACCGAGATGTCAACTTGTTTTGCGACATGTCACTTTATTCATTCTTAAGAAAATGTTCTATAACGGAGACGGCGCTCGCAAGGGGCTGAAGGGCCGCCCGGCGCGCCCTGGCGGACGGCAAAAGCGGGCGAAACAGCGGCGTGCGCAAGGCCTTCACAGAAGAAAGGCCACAGCACGTCGCCTTCACCTTCCGCGCACTGCCCCCGCACAAGCTCTCTGAGCTCTGTGACGCAGGGGAGTAGCAAGTGCGTGGGAGGGGATCGCCGCTCACGGATGCCGGAAACCGCACGGGCGGCGCGGAAACGCGCTCTGCCAGGGCAGCGTCGCCGAGCATGAAGACGTCGCGGCGCCACGGACGCTTGAGTAAAGTCGACGACGTGGCGATTAAAACCAATGTAAATAGTGTTGTGAATATGAATGAATGAGTGCGATTGTAAATATAGCCTAAGAATGAATGCGAGTGAAAATGAACAAAAAAGATAAAGAAGAAACAAGAAGAACGATATAAAGAATTAATTTAAACATTAAAAAGAGTTAACAAAACTTAGCAATTTCCAAAGCGGAAATTTAATTAGTTTTAAGTTACTATAAGTTATTTAAATTAAGATGCCGCCTTAGTAATCTGCAAAAGCCTCGTCGGCTGCAGGAAAATGTGTATCCCCAACGTAAATAAATTCCCGCCTCTCCAGGGTAACTGGAGACGGGAAAATGAAAAAAAATCAAACGGATTTTGTCAGGGAGTGTTAGAGCTACATGCACAGTGTCCAGTCGACTTGATGTTTTCTTATAAGTAATTTTTCATTTATAGACTGAATATAAAATGTATTTTTACTTATTACCTGAAGTTAATATTTATAACGTAAACATAGCTCAAAGGCTTAGTCTGCGTCGCCAGCTATCAATTGTCATTCAAATGGCCGTTAAGTATTTTTTCGTAGAAAAGGGGGTTCCGAACCGCGCAAGTACAGCCTCCATGGCGCCTGCACCCTCCATCACACCCGCACTCCACCTCAGCCGCACACACCACGCCCACCCATCACACGTCAACCGCCATACACATTCTCCCACACACACTTCACTCGCACACTCTCCCTCCTTCCCCAAAGCCACTTATAACGACATGTGTAGTAGTGTAATATACGTGTTTGCGAGTATGTATTAGGGAGGAGGAGATGGCAAGGATGTGGAAGAGAAAATCGAACGCGGTTCATGGTCCGCTTGATTACGTATTACCGGTTTTCCGTACGTACTTACGTACTTTGTAATGATTAAATAAATCACGAACAGAGCAGCTGACCTCTAGAGTTATTCTCCAGACATCGAGTGTGTTCGATAAAGCTATTCGAGAGCTAGAGACGAAAATTCCCCTCGGCGGGACATGAAACCAAGGACCTACCGCACAGAAACATTGCAGTGGCAACACTTAGTGTATTAACGGAATTTGGGAAGTTTATAAATTAACTTTAAAGGGCCGAAACTTTAGTAAAGTCTTAAAAAATAAATTCATCGATTTCTTGCATCGAAAATTACAAATTTGATAAGAATTTTGAGTTACAAAAAAAAACTCCTGAGATGAAACATTTTCAGTACTAAATTTGAATAAAGATATCAATTGGATAAAGGTTTAATAAAAGGTAAACCATTATGTTTGTGGTTTGATTATTTCTTTATACGTATTATTTTGGTGTATCTCAACATTTTTTATGCTACCACTGAATTGATATTGAATACGTTTTTAATATGTTTCTTCTATTTACTCATCACAAAAACTCTAAAATTTTAAGTAGACAGTTTTAGGAATATTTTGCAGGGATAAAATGCAATATGAAGCGTTAGAAAAGATCGATTCGTTTATCAAACCGATTATCAAAGAATGCAATTTTCAGGTGTTTAGAATTTGAGGCGCAATTATGAGGAAACAAATAGTTGTCAGTTGAAGCAAACAAGTACATTTTCTCCAATGAATCAATTCTATTTCAATTTTTAATCAAACAAAAGATAAAAATACCTTTTCGACAAATTGGAAATTGATTGTATTTTACTGGTCCGGGTGTCGTAGTAATATCAGGGATGAAGTCCGAAATATCTTTGAATGGAGAAGCCTCTGCAGTGCCTCTGACCGGGAGATCTTGGGTTCGAGTTCTGACGAAAGGATTTTCGATATTTACTACGTAACAAGGTCGAATTGAATCGCAGTCTGGAGGAGATTGCTAGCGGCCTGCTGCTCTGCGCGGTAGTTTTCTGAAGTTTCTCCGATCAACACTAGGCAAATGCCGGAGCTGTACCCTAACAAACGGACCATATACCGCACCCGATCTATCCCTCCTTTGTTTCTTGTCCAATCATTGCCCTTATACACACTCACGTATGCTTACTCTCAGGCACAACACTACCACACATTGGGCGGGGGCTCAGCGCTTATTCTGGCTGGTGGGAGCGATTGGGTGGGAGGAAATATCCCCGCCGGCCGACGTGCAGGTCGGCACCGCATCTCGCCTACCAACGGGGAAAGATCGCTGCCGCTTCCCGCAACGAAACAATGTACTACACTAACGGGACTAACGAGCGTAGCAGTGGGCGCTGCCGGATCAACCGAAGCGAGCGACCCGCGTTACCTTGGCGGCGCGGTGCAGCGCGGTGGCGTTGTCTCGGTCGCGCGCCGCGGGGTCGGCGCCCGCAGCCAGCAGCGCCGCAACGGCCTGCACGCCGGACCCTGTCCGGCCGCCGCTCGCGCAAGCGCCGTGCGCCCATGCCGCGTCGCGCGCCTCCACCGCCGCCCCGCGTCAGCAGGTCGCTGCGAACGCTCCGCACATAAACACTTCTAAAGACTTAATGTGGTTGAGTGTGGGGTAGTGTTCCGGCGTCGCAGCAACTAAGACCTTAGTCCCGTAGCGTCCGGACATGTTGTATCGCGAACAGGTGCCAGTGATGGACGGCGAAATCCGGCAAGCGACCTATACGTAGGCATGCGGGATTTCCCCAGCCAGTGTATTTCCACCAGCGGGGCACTGCTAAGATCCAGCTCCGCCTGTCCTCCTCGACATATGTCGTCCCGTGTCCAGTACGCTGTAAGTGTTTGATAGTGTGTGTAATATCTGGGTAAGGGTAGGGCAAGGAAGAGAAGGAAATATGGCTCGCGGCAGGAGCCATAGGCCGTTTTGTCTGGCGAGTTAACGTTAAACAAAGTAAAAACTGTGTGACGTACTTGGCAGGGAGGTGGCAATAGCGTGCTAGTTTTTCTTGACTAGTAAGACACTAACGTAGGAGGTATTCACATAATCGCTTTTTCCATTTTTCTAAGTGAATGTGAGTCGATTCAATTCACAATAACCTGAGCTATATATAGCCATAAATGTATAGGCTTATTTACCTTTGAAAATAGTTTTTATTGCAACGCGAACAGAATATTTTTTATTCTAATTCTTTGCGAAAGACTCACTCAGTGCTAGTACCGGTATTCATAATTCACCTTGAATGTGCAATATGAGATTAGACGTATCTCAAAGATCAAGAACGGTGCAAAGATTGCATTATTTATCCACGTACGTCACGTTTTAGATTCTCTTTTGTTGATAAATATAGTACTCGCGGGCGCGCTACTACGCTCTGCATACAAGTGGCCTCCAATTCGTGATCGGTGCTCTTGCCGCCACTACACCCGGTGGGCCGATAGTGGCCCCAGGGTCCACTTTAGTGCTGGGTAATGCCACTTTCAATCGGTTAGTTCAAATACAATCTATCATTACAAGGTAATGCAATGTAGTTTTATATTCCAAAATCTTTGAATTCGAAGGTTATTTACAGTTGCTTAAATTGCCAGCGTGCCTAAAGAATTATTGAAAGTTGTAATACTGCCCTAATTTAATTTAGATTTGTAAGTTTAGTGTAGGGTTGTGGAAAGTTGGTCTAATTTTGTCATAAAGTAATAACATGTGGCGAATAAGAGCAGCCTGCATATTCGTATATCTAAACGCACTTTTTTTGTTTTTGTTTTTGGCTCTTTGAAACGTAGATTCATCCACATAGTGGCTGACTCCAATTGAGACCCAATCGGGCCGCTTGGTCGTGCACATGTGAATGTTTTATATTCAGTGCCTCATGCAAGTAGACGTGTAGGAACTGCGAAAAAGTATAATCAAAATTGGATCAGCCTTCTTGCGTGGACGCGAATGGCAACAGAGACACACCGTTCAGTGCCGTGCTGCCCCAAAACTTCCAACTCCAACAGAACACTCTGATTAAATCAGTACGACGCTTCAATGTCCAGAGCTGGCCGGGGAGGGAGGACACTGTCATTA